TGTATATTTAGACCTTCCTTCCTTCCTTCCTTCCTTTCCTCTCTCTTCCTCCTTCCTGTGCCTCCCCCACAAGCAAGGAATACTATATCACTGGTGTCACGAGTCTGCGAATACAATATCCATGTGGGCTATACATGCCAGATGAAGACGCTTACGTAAGCAATATGCTGTCTATTCACACCAGAAAAAAATTGTATGTGGCTTTTCTCCTGCCAGATGGCCTTTCCCCTCTAATACCCTTTATATGCGAGAAGCAACCAATTTTCAATGAGAAGGTATCGTAGCAGCTGTCAGGCCGCACATGATCTCCCTTGCAAGACAGCAGATATACTCACTTTGTTTTCGGGATGAAGGTCGCCTGTTTACTCTTCCGACCTTCGTACCTGCTGTAAATACAAGTAATGAAATGTTTTGTCGTTCATGTTACGTTTATGTTCAATGTGCTACTTATGAAACAGGCTACCATGCGTATCAGCGATAATGCACACAGAACGGTCGCTTTAACCTGTTGAAACAAGACGTGATTCACCTAGTGTTCACTTTGAGCAACTACTGGCTTGCTTCAAGTTTCTATTCGAAATTAAGATCAGATAACCTCAAAGTAAGTAATAACTGATATGATTGCTATAGCAATTATAGAAACGCTCGATGCTCAGTCTAGCCGTCGCCGTCATATTTCTTATGTCTCCTTCGAGGACATCACCCCACTTGTTACATGTTTTGTGGCCCCGCCGTGGTGGTCTAGTGGCTAAGATACTCGGCTGCTGACACGCAGGTGGTGGGATCAAATCCCGGCTGTGGCGGCTGCGTTTCCGATAGAGGCGGAGAATGTTGTAGGCCTGTGTGCTCAGATTTGGGTGCCCGTTAAAGAACCCCAGGTGGTCGAAATTTCCGGAGGCCTCCACTACGGCGTCTCTCATAATCATATTGTGGCTTTTGGGACATTAAACCTCACAAATAAATCAAGTCAATCGATCATGTTTTGTGTGGAAGTGAAAGCTTGCGAAGGCTGCAAACAGGCGAAGCTCAGGCAAAGCTCCGACGCGCAAAGCTCAAGCGGAAAGAGAGGACGCTTGGCTGCGTGCCGTCTCTCGTCATAGTGAGAGGGCGCAGCGCGGCGTCAACAAAGCCGCACGCCTATGCAACGGTACGTGTGGTCAGGCCTTATTGATGAAGAAGGTGCTTATAACTAGCGACGAAGCTCCTTGCATAGCCATGCATGACATAGTAGAGCAATAATATGGAAAGTGAAGGGAAGGTGAGGAGTGGTGATATGAAGGGGATGGGGAGGACGGAGGGTAAAGCATAGCGATAGCCACGTATAGCAAGTGGTGGAAAGGGAAGGGCCCTCCTCGGCGCCCTCTGTGAATCTATAAGCCTCTTCATTGAAGATGTTTCGCTAAATAGAATTCTCTCAGCAGCGTCACTAAACAGCCTGCGATATCACATTTGTGTACTTTCTTCTCATCAACGCTCGAGGTGACTCTCGAAAAAAAGCTATGCGATATCGGTTAATTATCACAGGTGGTACACTGTACGAGTTCTGCCCCGACTTCGTTCTCGACTTCCAGCTGATGCATGCTCCATTCGTTGCAAACAGTCCAAGTCCCCCATTAAGTCACCATTTTAACTAATTATGTGAAGTCAAGCAGTTTGCGAAACAGTTGACCAGACCACTGCCACAGAAATTGATTATTAATATCTACGCTTTTAGAAGTCAAAAGCATGGTATGATTACAAATCACCCGTCAGTGGATGCCTTCCGAATGTCCAACCACCTGAGTTTCTATGACGTTCAGCTAAATCACATTGCATGAGCCTCTAGCAGCTCCCCTTCTTAGGAACTCATCACAGCTCGCGGGATCAAACCCACTACATTCGTGGTCAGCAGCTGAGTGCCGCGACCACGGCACCACTGTGGCAGCTCTGGGAAAATAGGCTTAATCGGAATGGTTGTAATGTTCGTAAAACAGATATTTTGAAATAAGAAAAGCAGTATCGGGTTAAGACTTACTTTTTGCTTCTGCGAGCTCCAGTTCTGCGACAATAATCATGACGACAACAAGTGCGATAGTGACTAAAGCAGCCTTCATTTTTTTTTTACGGATAAACAGAGCCGGCAACAAGGACGAAGTATTTGCCAAGATTTAACACGTCTGGTAAGTACGCAGAGCTGCCGGCGTCAAAACCCTTCTATCCAGGTATTGTTCGGCAACGTTCCTTAAGAAATGACAATGCGACAGTGTCTGCATTTTTTTCTATTTAATTTATTCATATCTGTTTTTGTCCAGCTTTGAAGGATCTGCTGCCCTTCGTGCCACGCCAAGTACACAGCGGTTGAATGAATCGAGCGCTAGCTCGTTCAAAACATGGTATAATAAAAATTAGAAGCATCTCTTGTGAGGTCAAGCGACCATTGAGATGTAGGGCTAAAAGAAAGCGCACGACACAAGAGGTTGTTTTGTGCGCTTCCTTGTAGTAATGTGTTTTGTTTTCGCTAACCATCAAGGGTATAATCCGACTCGACCAATTGAGTATACTGATTACAGGGTGTCGAAATATCTTTTTGGGAACGAAAGCGACATGGGTTGTTGCTGTCTGTACATTGCCGCGTGTATGTGCCAGTGGTGAGGACAACGAAGCAGCGCGAGTGTCCTTGGCCGAGGGAAATAGACGAAGAAGTCGTTGCACTCTGTTTCCTGCGATCGATAAATCGTATTTGTTTGAGGCGCTTTGTGTGCTCGTCAATCTCGCGTCGTCACAATATTTATCTAACCAGCAATGTCTCGTTACTGTGGTGGTCTTTTCTTGAGTTTAGTCTATACCAAAAATTGGCGAACGAGTCGGGTACATCGGGAACTGTATCCCCCAGTGCATACACGCACATAATGCCACATGGTATGGCTATGTGCCAGAAATAATTTGCAATGTACATCAATCTAATAACAGGAAATACACTCAGTGGCAAAATTATAAAATCTTTGTGTGTATTATTCACTGAAAGGAAGACGTACCAAATTATATAGTAGGTGCTTTTAGTGTAGCAGAGGGAGAGAGAAAATAAGGTTGAGTGAAGTGCAGGGACGTTCACCAGAATGAAATTTCCCGTTCGCTACCCTGTTTTGAGGAAAAGAAAATGGGATATAAAAGTAAGCAGGGAAAAAAGAAACTGATAAAAAAGAGAAAATGCGCACACACTCAATCACGGAAGTGTGACAGTCGTTTTGCGAGTCCGGTTGACCGCAGAAACTTCAGCAGCGCCTTCGTCGCATTCTGGCTGGAAGCTCGAACCATTCGGCACTCCAAAATCGACCACTCCGAAAGCAGCTGGTCATCAAGCCGTGCAGGCTAGAGTTGCCGAAAGCCGTTGTCTTTGGGAGATGTAACGAGGACTGTCACAAAAGACGTGGGCAGTTGTTCTCTCACTGCCACAAAAATCACAAGCAGCACTGTTAGCCATTTTGATCCGGTAAGCAAAACTGTTCGTGAATGACACTCCAAGCCACAAGCGGCAGAGAACAGTCGTTTGGGATCGCGATAGTTCAGATCGTATTTGAATTTCGAGAGACGGATGCAAATGGCTTAGGTGTGTAGCAGACAAGGTCCAAAGCACAGCAAACAAGCCCTGAATCATGTGCTTCAATGATCCATAGCTCGCCACGAAAACGTTTATCAATTGTTGCCCATTGGTCGTCGGGGTGATGCTTGCGTATAACGTACGTGCACTGCGGTGCAGTGTTCACTATCCACCTCACAATAATGTAATAAACTTTATACTTGCTCCTATTACACAAGCTAGTCTTGCGTAGGTAGTGCCAGCGGGAATACGCCAGCGTTCATCACTGACCCCTCGTTTTCCTATCATTTAATTTGGTTGCTGATGGTATACGTCGGCTATTGAGCTACCCTCTACTCCCCATTCTAGTCTACGTGTTAGGTAATGCCATAGTATGCACAAAACTACTGAATTTACCCAGAGTCACGGATTGTCTATCCATCTTGTATGACTTCGCTGCGGCGTTAATATTTATAGGGGAGCTCAATGGCATGTATATATTTTAGTTCACGCAGGCGATACTCCGCAGATAAGTGTTTTCAGGACAAATGTAATTGTCAAGTAAGTGTACTGTCGTAGATCAGCGGTGCACCCTCTTTTGGTTTCTTAAGAAACAGCTCACCAGTACGAGGCACTAACTTGTAGGGCAAAGTTCTTGCGCACAAACCACTCTTTTAGTAGAACTATTTGCTTATGTATTAGTCAACAATACCGACAAACTACGCAAAAACAAATGAATGAGGAGCTATCCTATCTCAGATGGTAATTGTTTCCGATGCCCCTTGTCGTGTGACGCTTTTATAGCTCTTCAACGCTATATCAGAACAAAGTGAGCCGCATGACGCTACGTCACAGCACCTTCGCTCACTGTACATCATCTGTTCTCTATGCATGAAGCCCCGGTGGTGCTTAAAGCAGGCGGGGCTCTCCAACAAGAAGCTTCCATGAAATGTTAGTGCACCGCAATAATCTGCGCACATTTGTCATTGATTTCAGAGTCATATACGTATGGTTTCAATATTCTTTATATCGAACGGCGCGGTGATTGTGTGATGATCAGGGCTATTTCAAACTTGAAAGCAATGGCAATAGAATATAATTGTTGCGGTTTAACGTACCACACCACCCATATAATTTTGAGACACGCCGCAGTGAAGAAAATTCCGGAAATTTCGGCCACAAAGCTTCCTTACATCTAAGCGCACGGGCCTTTTGCACATATAGCCTGCATCGAAATTGCGGGCGTCGCGGCCGGGTTTCAATCCCGTGACCTTCCGGTCACCAGTTAAGCTTCATACATTCATTAGTGACCATGGAAGGAAAGAAGTTGAGTGAATCACTGTGTAAACAAAATTTGGTAGGTGTGCACGACGATTGACATTGTCGAATTGTTGGAAGTAAAGAATAACGCGTACAGAAACAAATATTTTATTGATTTGTACATATAAAAACTGCTGTTTCTCGGGATTTTCATGGGCACTCAACAGTAATAGAGGATCAGGAAAGCCAGCTGACTTTGCTCGGCCAAGCCCAGTGAGCCCCAAAGGCCAGTGGAGCCCTGGGCTGAGGACCCCACCCACTTGCCCAGTAACATTTTAGCGAATAAAGAGAAAGTTTCATCATCATCACTAGTAAGATGTGCGTCTTTGATACCTCCATACCGAAGGAGAAACGATCCATGCTTTTCGTGGCGTTGTTCCTCCAGGAGCTGAAAGATTATGCAGCAAAACAAAAAAAATATTTTAAGAAGCGTATTTTCGTTTCTGCTTATATTATGATTAACTTCATGCGTCATTTCGCGAAAAATGAATGTATCCATATTGTGTTCGTTGACAAAATTCTTATTTCTACTAACTCCCCTGTCTTTCCTCATTTATTCCTCCTTATGTCTACTATTTTGAGGTTTTTGACCTTAAACTGATTTCAGGTATGTTTAGGCCAGAAAAAGCCCTCATAAATAAAAAAGATGAAGGAAGTTGAAACCACGTTCTGGTAATCCTTACATGTGCTCATTTGTGTGGGCAAATGCATGCGTTTCTTTTCTTTAAGCTAACCTGTTTCACAGTGGTCACAATCAAAACACACAGTTGGAGTTTTCTGGCAGCACATAACGCTGTCATTAGCGATATTTACAAATATTTACTGCGCAGTCGCAAAGCGAGCGGTGGTTACGCTGAAAATATATTTGTGCTGATTATACGTTGCATATGTTTAACCGGTTGCACAAACTTACGTTTTCTGGCCTGAGGCTTTCTCTTTTATGAGTCGTGTTTTATGCAGCAGCTGCAGAAAGAAATTTTTCTTGGTTAATTACCACAAAGCAACAGATGAACGGCAAGATGAGTGTGTGTAAAAAAATAACCATTTCGCGTAGGGGCCCCAAACTAAAAGGTTGGAAGCCTGTAGAGGGCATCGACGTCACTCTAACCACAACTGATGGTAGTATCATTTCTAGGACTGCCACCCTCCACGTTCTAGGTATAATTGTTGAGATTAATGGCTCTAATAACCAAACTGCGCAGAAGCCTACCATGAAAATTGACAATGCGCTCAGGTTAATAAAAATGGTTGCCAACCGGTAGCAAGTGCTATGCGAAGGCAACCTCATCAAGTAATGTGTTACTTTACCCACGTCGCGGTCATGCACAACTGCCAGTGGTCGGAGTGAGACAATCTCAACACGTTCGTCAGAAAGGTGGTAAAGAGAGTCCTCGGGTTTCTCATGAAGACGAGCCCGGAGAAAGTGCTCCACCACGTCATGCACAGCATGCTGGGAGAAATAGCTGGGTCACGAAAGGGCGCAGTTTACCAGACGTTTTACCACCAGTGCCGGGAGGAACATCCGGAAAGAGCTTGCAGCTGCCCCGGCATAAATTAACACTAGATACTTCACCAGTCCTTGAGAACAGTGAGAACGCATTTCCATTGCCCCCAGTTTTCGGAACGTCCACCCTGAGTACAATGTATGCAAACGAAGGGCTATTACTGATGTCCTCCTGAAGGTGTCCACGGATATGCCTGTAGTTGCTGTTCCGTCTACAGAACGATGTGCCCAGACAAAAAATCATTCGTTGCAAACTGCTTTGAGCTAGACAAAATATTTTCAAAATCACCTCGATGGCCTGGCGACGGCGGCCGAGGTTGCCGCCTCGTCGCGATGGCCTTGGCCCTGCTAGACGGCGCGAGAACGACAAAACACAGCAAGTCGAGATCAGCCGCCCGGACATTCACCAAGGTCATCTCGGAATCAGCTTTGTGATGCAACGTAAGGAAGTTCAGCGACATATGATCGTCTGGTTCACCCGTCACATGGGACAGATTGAGGGCGCTTCATCCAACCTCGATGAGTCGGTCCACAAGGCTTCGCGAGGAGTCACCCGTGTAGCTACGGATTGGCGCCGCGCTGAAATTCTGGAAAACATGGATCGCCCAGCCGCGTACATTATACTAACTAACAACACTTATCTTAGGAGGCGAAAGTATCCGACGCCCCACAATAAATGCAGCAGGACTCAGGCAAGGCAATGACGTCTGCACTCTTGTATGTTGGTGCTTATCTTAGTCCTGAATTCTTACACAAGATTTATCCCGAACATGTGAGTTGATACAGCGCACACAAGACGACAATGGGAATAAGGAACACAGGACTGGCACTGGTCCTGTGAGTCAACTAAGATGAACGCACCAACTTACTCAAGCTTCCATTCTCATCTATCCAGAAATTTATACATCAAACAGCTGCGCGCTTTGCTCAGACATTACCAGCTTGGACCACATGTTCTGGTGGTGCCCTGCTTGACAGATGGACGAAGACAATACATCGTACACATGGGATGCTGCGCTACGCAGTCCGGATTTCAAAACACAACTATCGGTAGTCCAAGGGCCCATGACGGAGCAGAGAAGTTAAGCCGATCTGTCCCGATGTGGAAGCGGCCCGCCACGTGCAAGTTAACAACCTGATGGACCTGAATTGTTTTATTTTTCTTTCCATTTCCCGAAACAACAAGACTTGGGTATCATTCACATGAATTTGTTTGCTTTTGAGCTTCACTTTTCTTTTCCTGCTTCATGTGCACGACGAGGATGTCAAATGTGCTTGGATAACGCTTCAAGCTATAGTTTATTATTGCACTGCTTGTTTGTACTGGTCACGTAACGTACTATATATTACGACATTTACCAATGACTCATGCGTGTGCAGTCAGAAAACACTGCAATTTTGCTTGCGTATACACAGGATGCCCCACCTATGTTTAGCCAAAGCTTAAAAATATGCCGACACACGCAATAATGACGTCATAATGCATGTTTCTGACAGTTGCGTGAAGAGAATCACGCTATAATTTTGTTTTAAATATTTCTTAAATTAAGCCTTTTAATTAACTAACATTTGAAGCAACAAATATGGGTCCAAACTTTCAAGAAAAATGTTGTAGATCGTTTGGAAAAACGACCAATTATACAGCTTTCAACTTTACATCTGTTAATTAATAGTGTTATTCTGCTAACTACATATGTCCACGATATAAAAAATGTCGCAGCTTTGCCGCAAAGGCAAAGCAATGAACGCGATAGCAACAAATCGGAAGGTCACACGCAAAATTGCAAGCAGATTGAAACGTGCTCGGCGAAACGAATAAAGCCTATAGCTGATCCTCAATCGTCGAATTTCGCAACGTTAGCGTCACCCTGACCTATCGCATCTCTGTGTGTCTGGATACGTTCTCCCATGCTGGTATAGGCATGTATGTGAGACGTTTTTGTGTAATACATGTAGTGCGTGTAATATGTAACACGTATAATCTATACGTGTTAGACGTTGTTAAGCTGTTGAACGTTTCATGCCTTTTTATTTCAACGCCCTTTGTATGTGCGGGTAATGCGTTGGCTGGCTAATTCATAGGAATCCACTGTGCTTTTCTAGTGCGAAGAGTGGCACCACAAGTAAGAATACAGAACAGAGTGCTCAGTGTTCCTCGCTTAACGTTGTTTAACTCGGACTTTTCTTTTTTGCGTGAGCCGTCGTGAGAGTGCTCGGTTGATCAAGTTGTGCTGGTTGAGGCACACGGTGAACACAACGCATGTCCTTCCGATATCTGATTGATATGAAGAGTGGAGGGATGCAATAAATGATGTAAGTTGAGATTAGTGCTGTGTCTTGTCTTTCTACTTGCGGTGTCATTTTTTTACGCTAAAAATGCACATGTTCGACGACTTGGGTACCATTTCCCGGCCACTGCTGTCGTATTTTGATTGCCGTGGTATGTGTACACTTCAATTTGCTTTGATTGACGTGCGCGATAAAGAATTCCGGGTAGTAGAAATTTACCCGTAGCTTCCCTTTCGGCTTCCATGAGATTATGAGTTGTGCTCGTGCTAGCTTGTGATATTGTTACTCTGATCTATAAATAATAAATTATATATTTTAACAGGGCAAATAGCTGAGATATTTGATACTGCATGTGGAACTAAACGTTTGAGCGAACAAAAAACGACGCTGGATGAACAAAGGTATAGACAAACATTTTAAATGCGAAGCATTTCTTAGTAAACTTCAGCAACTTGGAGCTTATCTGTCTATCTAGCAGCTTACGTTTGGGTGCCCTCGTGGTTACCTCCTTAACTTGGCGTGAACCAAAATTAGCATGGGAGGGTAAGATGGTTTGACGAACATGACGCGCTGGTCAAGACATGAATAATCTCCAAATCCAGTCGCGTACGTCGTCAAACACTTCCCGTCAGACAGCGGCACATACCCATGGGTGGGTATGTGCCACTGGTGATTGACACTTAGTATCTACCTAGGAGCGACGAGAACACACATAGGATATTTTAATGCCTAAGCGTTAAGAAATACCCGACATCAGTAGCGTCGACCAAACGATAGCATAGAATAAATTTCAGTGTTAAGAAAAACCTGACATAGGCAGCGTTTACCCCCCGATGAATGCAAATAACAAGTTTCAGGGTCCCAGCAGCAGCAATCAAACCCAAGCATTTTGCGTGGCAGTCAAGCATTCCACCGCAAAGCTACGGCAGGTCTCGGAACTATATATTTTTCAATAGACGCTAATCTTCGTGAAACGTCAATAGTGGTTGCTGTGCTTCCCACCTAATTTTAAAAAAAATACATATGCAGTCCTTTAATACAGCCGTCACATCGGGTTAACGTCAATTGTGGTTAGGAGCTGTGCGCTGAAGTTGATTTATGTAGCAGTGTCCAGGACCAGCATCTTTGCGAGCATCAGCGCTTCATATCAGCTTCTGGTGTTGCTAATATGCATGTTCCAGTTCACATCGTTGTGCAAGTGCAAACAACTGGTTATATAAACATCTGCAACTCTTCAACTTATGTCTGTGCGTGCAACATTTTTACATATACTTAGCATCATTTGATGACGTGTCACTCAATAAAAAACTTCCAACTAGGTCACCTTCCCTCCACATGCTTCGCATAACGTCAATTCTCACGTACGTGGGTTCTGCCAATTTTCTTGGACAAAGCTTTCCCGTTGAATGCAAGTGTCGCAGAACTAGCGCTAAAAACGGGCGCGCCGCCAAATTCTTGCGATAATGCGCCCAGAGAGACGCGGCGAGGTCAACAAAAAAAAAAGAAAAGAGAAAACAAGCATCCAAGGCTCCCCGGGCGCGCGACGCCTCTCCTCTCGGAAGCGTGGCTTCACCGAGGAACCTCCTCACCCCACAGCGGCGGCCGGGCAAGCACTGGAACGTTCCAGAAGGAAATGGGCGTGTATGCCGGGTTGACTCATCTGTCGGGGACGGCCCCCGTACAGTCTCGCGCCTCTCCCCAGCCTTCGCTGCGTATCGCGCCGACGAAATGACAAGAACTTTCTAGAATGTGGCGCGGAAGGTATTTAATCGAGCGGCCGAGACGAGAGAGCAGGAGGAGACGGAAGTTAACGCCAGAGCGCGTAGGGATTCCGCCGTGTAGTCGGCGAAGGTTTTGGTCCGTAGGGACGAAGCCGGAGATGAAGAGGATTTCCACCTGAGGGGTGAAGGCTCGGGCTACAGGCAAGAGCGTGTGTTTACCGCTTTCGAGCGAAGACCCGTGGCAACAGCTGCGGGTGTGAAGCCGACGTGTTCCGGCGAAGAAGTTGAAGTTTAAAGAGTGGCCAATTGAAGACGGGAGGTTTCCTGGAAGAGAAACTTCGGGGGACAGCGGAACGACAACAACGCTGGACTTTGAGTGAGTGATTCTCGGAAGAGTATCATTCAGACTTTTGTTCCAAGGACTTTGGACTGAATAGGTTTTCTATCTCTTTAGTCTTTAAGTGTCTTGGTTGTTCAATGCATGCGACTGCATTGTAGTGCGTATTGTTGTCTGTGTCTGTTGTTTCGAGTGTGGCTGATTGTACTGTGTAATACGTTGTCTGATTGGTGACATTTTATCCTCATCTATTGTGGAGTGTGCATACTTGTGTGTTTTTTTCGATCTGCCGTTATTGAGAATATAATTTTGTTTGTTTATCAACTCTCGGCTCTGACTTGTTCTTTGGGCCACAGCCGGCGTCCGCTGGCGCGCCAAAAAGGACCACTTCTAAATTGTCCACGCTTTCGTGGTGCGGTTCGGGGGGCCAATACTTCGGCCCTTGGAATCAGCCCGGCGATCGCCTCCCTAATTAACGGGGCAGGTGTGACAGCAAGATACGTAAAAAGCAACGCACTTCAACACAATACATGTTTCTTTACAGAACGCTTTCAGATACTACCCCAGGGCACTCCACTTACTTCAAGTACGTTGTTTAGCTATCACAACTCACCAACAAAACACTTACAGTCTGTATCCACTAAACCTACCTGCGGCTTTGGAAGCTGGAGAAGAAGTCCCGTTTGTCGATTTCTCGCCACTGTTCCCTGCAGCTACAGGAAGCATACATCAGGTTATAAGATGGTGAATTAAAGGAGATAGTTTGTTACGGGCATCAATGGGCATGTACCAAACCTCTGACTATAGTAATGACAAAGCATGAAGGATCAAAATGGTCCATTATATATATATATATATATATATATATATATATATATATATATATATATATATATATATATATATATATATATATATATATATATGTGTGTGTGTGTGTGTGAGAACTATCTTTATCATCAAGAGGACATTTAACAGGTCTCAATGCGCTTTTATACCGTCGTCTTCGGCGCCCAGCGGGGGAGGGCAAAAAAAGACCAAAAGTACTTAATGTTGCGAAAAAAAAACTAAACTTGCAAAAATTAGTCGCAAAGGTCAACGAGCATAGACGGTTGGACATTAGCAGAATACGTGCTTTTTCCCTGTAGCGACGAAAAAACAACAAGAAAACTAGTTGAAAAAACAAAAATCTATTGATATACATAGTCGTTGCTGGTGTTCATTTTTATATCTCACCAATTCGGCTCTCTTCCCCACTTGTTCATGAATCGGGGTGAGGAAAGGAAGCTTCACAATAAGTGGTGAGTGCTTGAGAAAGATCAACAGTCTGAATATTCAGTAAGAGTCCCGAAAATGTAAAGAACAGGTACAACCGCGGACAGGTTTGTGTAGAGCACGCGAGCATGGGTTTTCGCTCTACGGGCAAGCACCTTGAGGCAGTTTTGAGCTCTGAATGTCGTCAGCCTGGCTACTAGGCTGCCCGTGCTCGTGGGACACCACGCCAGAGCTTGGCAGTGGCTCAAGGCGTCGTTCCGCATAGAAAAAACCAGCTGCTCATCCGCTATACACATTCGTGGTCGCGGCGGTACATTTAGTGAAGAACAGACAGCTATGAACTGTGACCACTCGCTCAAAATATGTTGCCGAAGAGAAATACCTTCGTTAAAATTTTAGCCGGGTGTCAAATCTTTTAGTCACTCGATGAGGGTCAGAGCAGTGGTTTCATTATAGGGAGTATTATTCAAAAAATGCCTCCTTTCTGGGAGAGCATGTGCGGATGTTGCATACTCGACAGCATCCACCTGAAAATATGCGAAAAAAAATTGACAAAGACAGACAGAGAGAGAAAGAGAGAGAGTTTCGATTAACAGTATTATCATCTTGCATCTTCCCGATCCCAAATTGTAAAGAGTATGCCTGGATTAACATTTAGTCCAGCCCTCAACGTTCTGAAATTTGGGCAAGGAAGCGTGAACAAGGATGCGTAAAAAGTGAGAATCATATATGATTCATAAAGTGTATGCGCGCAGTTACTTCTCGCCGTAGTACTAATTAAAAACTTATGTTACTTGTGGTAAGAACATTGAAATACTTTGTCGACTACAAGAACTCTCACTGCCTCCGCAGAGTTACAGATCATGTTTGAAAGAGAATATAGCAATATTTCCGCCTAATCTGGACCATCAAATATAGAGAGGACCACACATTTCTCTTTCCAGACAGCCATCACGACTGCATTCACCACCGCCAACCAACGCACTACGTTTGGAGAGCCCAAAATACGCAGAGAAGAAAAAGACGGCGGCGAATGTCGAGTGGCTATTATTTTTTTTTAAGTTTGTTGTAACATGGACGTTGTCGAGTATGCAACATCTGCGCCTGCATTTTGAAAAAAGAGGCACCTTTTGAATAACACTCCCTACAATATAACCTCAGTTCTGACTCAAAAAGATTTGATTAACGAAGGGTATTATCTGTTCTCTTCGGCATATTTTGAGCCACAGGCCGGAGATCTTAACTTAAGTTGTTGATTTATTAATTGATATGTGGGGTTTAACGTCCTAAAACAACCCCATGAATATGAGAGACGCCATAGTGGAAGGCTCCAGAAATTTCAACCACCTGTGGCTCTTTAACGTACACCATAATCGGAGCACACGGGCCTACAACATTATCGCCTCCATCAAAAACGCAGCCGCCGCAGCTGGGATTTAAACCCGCGAACCGCGGGCCCGCAGCCCAGTACCTTAGCCACTATACGCCCAAGGCGAAGTTAGCTTTCTGTTTTTCACGGAATGTATCTGTTCTCTACCTGTTTCGGGACTTAATCATGCAGTTAGCTGGGAATATTCTTTGGCAGCCACACACAGAGACATAACCACACAAACGCACACACACGCGCGCGCGCACGCACACAGGTTGTCTTTCGGCAGCCAGTCGCTGCCCCGCCCCTGCGTTTTAAGCATTTGCTATCCCCCACGTGATACGGTTTATAAGTTCTCGTGTGACAGTGCAGGCATGCGGAATAAATCGAGAGAGGTACTTACATTCGCCTCTATCTGATGTCGAACTAGAGACGTTATCGCTGGACTTGCTATCGGGAACGGTATCTCCACTTCCACCACCTGTACACAAATTAAAGCACGTGGGAAGATTTTTTAATTAAAAGAAATAACAAAAACGATGGCCCCGTTCACGGTGGCGCAGTGCACGTTAACCGCATGCAAGGACGTCACCGCTCATGTGACAGTGAGAGGCAAGCCGTAGAAAGTACGTCCATGCACGGTCGGCCTGTTCGTGATATTTATAACAAGCAAGCCTCGTTCTCTAGTCATCAAGATTAGCGTGGCCTATACCGAAATGATAGTTTTTTAGGTGTTCCTCAGTGTAGGGACGACCGTCAGGCAGCCAAACTGCATGACTAGGCTGTGTGCTGGTGGAGCGTCAAGCCTCGTTCATGCGGGTGCCTTTGTCTTTGTATATATATTTATATATATATATATATATATATATATATATATATATATATATATATATATATATATATATATATATATATATATATATATATATATATATATATATATATATATATATATATATATATATACGTCTTAAATTCAGGTGTATCATTGGTGAGATATGGCCATATACTGTTTCTCCTGCTCAGGTTGCTGTAGAGTTTAATGAGTTTTTTTTTTCATCTGTTGTCACGGACGAGAGTACATTGCCAAATAATACTCACTTTCCTCATTTAAACTTAACCGTGCATGATGTCATTATTAGTTCTGAAGGAATAGAATCCGCCATCGGCCACCTGCCAAATAACTCTGCTCCAGGTCCTGATGGCGTATGCTCTAAACTTCTCAAACTAGCCAAACCTACGATATGTGAATTTCTTGTCACCCTATTTCAACAATTCATTGGCACCTGATGTGTTCCCAGCGATTGGAAACAGGCTCGTGTCATTCCCATGTTCAAATCAGGTGACCCGTGCAGCGCCTCTAACTACAGAACAATTTCATTAACAAGCATGGGCCGCAAAATTCTGAAGCATATAATTTCATCAGCTGTCATGAAGTTCTTAACAGAACAGAATTTTTTTTATAAATTAACATAGATTTTTGCGTGGTTTATTATGCGAGACGCAACTCTTTCAATTGATCACTGACCTCCATTCGTTCGTTACATTATGTTGATGCTATATTTGTGGATTTTGTGAAGGTTTTCGATACTCACTTGCGCCTAATACACAAGTTAACATGCCTGAACATCAGCTAAAGAATTATTAAGTGGATAACCAATTTTTCAACTAGCCGTCACCAATCAGTTTTCCTAAATAATTACTCTTTGATCAATGTTAAATAGGTGTCACTCGAGGCTCCGTGCTCAAATCCATCCTCTTTTTAATTTATATTAATGATATTGCCAATGACTTATGTTCTACAGTAAAATTATTTGCGGATAATTGCGTACTTTATAGAGAAATTACTAGAGCTACGGATGCTCACTACTTACAATAGCACTTGAATAAACTCGGTAAATGGTGTGAAAATAGGCAAATGGAAATTAACGTCAACAAGACCAAATTCATTCGATTCTCAACAAAAAGATCTGTATTATCCAACTACACATTAAACAACACGTCCATAACCTCCTCAAGATCGATCAAGTACTTGGGCATTCATTTGTCATCTGACTTGGCATGAAGCACCGATATAGACGCCATGGTTAGCAAAGCAACTAGGTCATTTGGCTTCGTTGGGCGTAACCTAGGTTTAGCGAACACCACCACTAAACTTCTTGCTTACAAAACTTTGTTAAGTTCAAAAATCGAATAAGCATCACTTATCTGGAACCCACATCAGGCGTACCTTATTCATAAATAAGAACCACAACAAAAATCTGCTCGATTTATTACCAAAAACTGCCTGCCAACATCAAGCATAACAGAAATTAAATCTCCAATATATCTTATTTCTCTGAAAATGCGTAGGCTTGTTACGCTTCTTTCTTTTTTTAATGAAATTCATCACAACACGTCATCACGCGCAGCTTTTTATATAAAAGAAGCTCATCGTGTATCGTCGCGCCTTGACCAACATAAAATCGAGCCCATCTTCGCCCGTACCAATATTTTCTTTAACTCGCCGCTACTACGAGCCATCCGTTGCAGGAATCAGCCTTCTGCTGACATTGCAGTTATTACTAATCATAATGAATTCGTGAACAGGCCTAAATGTCACTCTGAAGCTTAAATTTTCGCATGTCGAATTCCGCCCTCCCCCTTTTTTTCTGACACATTGCACATTAAAGTGCAATCCAAAATTCTTTCGTTCCTAGTTGCATTTTGGGGTCGTTTTTATTTATTGCTCAAGCATTCTTATATAACTGAGGAGTTTGGATTACTGTTATTTTTATTATTTGCACAATTATCAACTTTCAGAAGACATTATTTTTTGCTGCAACGCAAGTAATATAGTACTATCCTATCCTTTTTTGCTTAGTTCTGTTGTTAAGAAAACCCTGTCAAGTCGTACATGCCGCATGTATTACAGTATTTTTAAATGTCTGAGGTGTTTCAATTACAGGTATATTCATTATTGCACATTCCTTTAGTTCCATAGGATATTGATTTTGCTATTTATGTATGTTTTGAACCTGTGCTACAATTTATTATTCATATATATATATATATATATATATATATATATATATATATATATATATATATATATATATATATATATATATATATATATATATAATGACCCTCGGCAGGTCACCTGCCGTTTGGTAGCGTAGGTTTCTCAGCTCGCGACTGCTTCGGCGCAGAGCTGATAGACGAGCGGACGAGACGACGGTGAGTTAAACAAGGTTTATGTACAGCATATATACAGAGGCGTTACAAATTCGGCACTGGGGCCGACAGAGACGCGAAGAGCCGAGCTCTTCTCTCTAACACATAGCTCTACTCTCAAATGGGTCTGCTAACACATAGCTCTCTTCTCTGACACACAGCTCAACTCTCTATCACATAGCTCTTTTCTCTGACACACATGTCTGCTCTCACATAGGACTGCTCTCCAACAGGTCTGCTGCTCGCGACGCGCCGCAGGGCTTCTTTTATATGCACCGGGTGGATTCTTTGAATAACAAAATGTCCAACCAGAAGCGCCACTGGTCATGAGGTAAGACTCCTCCAATGGGGTCGCCGCTGGGCCGCGTCATTCTTTCTCATCGAATCTGGAGAAGCTGCGCTGCAGGTTGCTGCACCCAAGGACGAGTGACGTCGCCAGGCATTGCGTCAGACCCGCCAGACAGGAAGACGCCGGTTGTTTACTCGACGGGCTCACAAGATGAGGTGACTCACTGCACGTACGCGCCAGAAAGGCGCCGTCGCGTGATGACGCCGTGGAGTTGTGGATCGCGTCAGGCGGACTCGCGTGCTGGCCTTGACACAGATTTCCTTTTTCCGAGGCATGGACGTTCGCTGCGGACTCGCAGGCATAACAGCACCCCCGCCGCCAGACAGTGCGCCGGAAAGACGAGATGCTTCCACGGGGCTCGGATGTCAGGCGCGCTCGTTCGCCAGGTCCCTCCAGGTTTGCCTCCAGGGCCGTGGGGAGAATGCAGCTCCATACTCCGTTCCTGGAACACATCCCATTCTTGAGGACGGATCTCGGCTCCACTGGCTTGTCGCTACGACTTGCCGGCCAGCTTCGCTCGTCTCTTCTGACGATCTTTGGTTTCAGCACTTGTCGATGGTTCTGCAACTTGTCAAGAACGGTTCGACAACAGACAACACACGACACAAGAAGTGCCCTCGGTCACCCGACAGAACACCAGACAAAGTATAGTACAACATATACCTAGCTACGTGTCTATCGGAATTTCGTTCCCTCTACATCAAGAGGCACATGTGGGACACAAGACTCTTCAAATGACAACTCAATTTTTTTTACACGTACAACAACGTAACGAATTAGAATACAACATAAAGTTGGCTCGTTGAGATCACTCTGGACGAGAGCGCTCAGCTAAGGTCGTGATAAGGACAAAATTTTGCCCCGAATCGCCAGCGAGAAACCGAAAGGTGGAGAAGGTACTAACTAAACGCACGGCTCAATGCGTCTGCATTAGCGTTTAGCTTTCCCTTTTTTTTAGCTTTTTAGCGAACGTCAAAGTTGCGCTGTCGGAGTATCACGCTCCATCTCAGTAACCGGCCACCTTTAGGCGACGATACCTATGCGGTACTAACAGCTGCTCATACTTGCGACGTTGCACAGGGGAACAACGATACGGCTTGGTACGGATTGGCTCCTCACCAGCTAGCTCGATATCTGTTTGTTTGTTATTTGCTCACTCCTGCCATAGCCCCAAATTGGGGGCTGCAGTATGTATAAATAAATAAATAAATAAATATCGTGTTCGATCACCATCGTGTTTAAGGGACGGTCCGAAAACACGTATTCAAACTCGGAAACAATCCCTTTGAGGTCCTCCTTCTGGACTTCACTTAACCTAGGCTCTTGGTTCAACTGCTCCAAGATTACCTCCGATTCCCTTTCGATTACCTCACTAGAACTAAAAATTTCTGCTAACTCTTCCTCTGAAGCATTCAACAGCAGATTTAGGACCGCTTGACGTTGAACGTATGCTTTCATAAAATCACTGTGGTAAATTTTGTTCGGCCGCCTTCCTAATTTCACTTCATAATCGGTATCAGAAAGCTTCGATACTACTTTTGCGGGCCCTTCCCAATAAACCTCAAGCCTGTTCTTTTTGGACGGCCGCAGCAGCAATACCTGACTTCCTACTTCAAAAGCGCGCTTCTTCGCCGATTTGTCGTCGTACTCCTTCGACAACACTTGTGCAGCTTTCATGTGGCTTTCCCCTAGCGCTTCAATCGAGAGGTCCTCACGCTGCTCTCTATTGAGCGTCTCCCGATCAACCCTCGACAGCTCGCTCCAACTTTCCGCTACAGGCGAGAGTGTTGCAGCCTTCTCGCTCTGACTCAATGGTGCCATGTCGTCTCCCCTTGCTATACGGAAACCACGCCGGTCGCTTCGGCGACGACGGGCCGCTCGAGTGACTGTTCACATGACTCACACGGAAAATTTCG